TCAACCTTGAGACCACAGATGTGTTCCCTTCAACCTTGAGACCACAGGAACATGGAACAGAAGTAGACAATTCAGCCCACAACCCTACTCGACCATTTGATACGATCAGCTGATCTCCCCTTGGCCTCCACTCCATTTTGTTGCCCACTCTTTTTGTAACCCTCCAACCCGTCACAATTAAAAATCTCTGTCTCCTCCTTAAATTTACTTACTGTCCCAGCATCCACTGCACTCTGGGCCAGTGAGTTTCACACATTCACAGCCCTTTTGAGAGAAGTAACTTCTCCTCTGTTTTAAATATGCTAACCCTTATCCTAAAAGTGTGACCCCCTCGTTCTAGATTGCACATAAGGAAACGTCCTACATCTCTTTTGTCAGTCCCCTTTAACATCTTGTATACCTTAATTAGATCTCCTCTCGTTTTCTCAGCCTCAGAGAATATAAACCTAAACTGCCCAATCTCTCTTCATAAGACAGACTCATCCTGCCTGGAATCAATCTAGTGAACCTACTCTGACTTGCCTGCAAGACAAGTACATTGTCCCTGCCCCCAACTCCAGGAGACCAAAACTATACACAGTACTCCAGGTACAGTCTCCCTAATGCCTTACACAATGCAGCCACACGTGTCCTCTTTTTTTAAAGCAATAAATGCATTTGTTTACCTCGTTGCTTGTTCCTGCATGCTAGTTGTTTTGTGATTTGTACTTGGGCATCCAGATCCCTCTGCTCTGAAGCATGCTGAAGTTTCTCTCCATTTTAGATAAGTTGCCTTTCTATTCCTCTGACCAAAGTGGGTAAACTCTGGCTTACCTACATTAAAGTTTATCTGCCATATTTTGGCCCATCCACCTCATTTGTCCATACCAATTTGTAAATTTCTTATTTGGTTGCAGGTAATTTTCCCACCTATTTTACTGTCATCTGCAAATTTGGCTCTAGCGCTTTATTTTCCTATATCCAAGTCGTCAATACGGATTGTGAATGCTTGGAGCCTGAGGACTGTGGCACCCATTAGTTACAACTTGTCAACCGAAAAAACTCATTTATCTCAACTCTGTTGGTTAGCCAGTCTTCCATCCAAGTGAATAAATTAATCCAAACACCATGTGATCTTGTCTTGTGTATTAACCTTGTATGAAGCTATATTTGGAGTATTCACGGCCTTCCTATATAAATAATTCCAAAGATTCACAAATTAACAAATTTTCCCTCTTCCTTCAGTCCTGAATGATTTGCCTACTTACTCTGAGACTATCCCAGCATTTTTTTTTAAGATTCCCCAGCTAGTGGAAACAACCTTACGACTATCTTTCTTGTTAAGCAACATCATAATGGTGAAAGTGTCAATGAACTTGTCTCTAATTCACTTATAACTTCATGCATGTTCTCTGGAGTTTATTTTTCATCCATTTGTCCTGTAACTTCTAGGTTGCTCTGTATAAGGAAACATTCTACATCTATTTTGTCAGTCCCTTTTAACAACCTAGAAATTACAGGACAAACTTCTCAACCCAGGGCTAATTGAATCAAACTGTACAGGACTGTCTCCAGTGGGGCAAGGATACCCTTCCTTAAATTAGGAGACTAAAACTGCACCTATGCAGATATTCCAGGTGTGGTCTCAGTAAAGCCCTGTTAATTGTAGTAAGACTTTTTTTTATTCCAGTGCTATAATCTCCTTGTCAATACAAAAAATTGACCTTAAATCCCTACAGAAATGTGGTAGACTTCAAGTAGGAAATATAAACCTGAAGCAGCTGTGTGTAGGGAGTAGGTACTCCCACCTTTTGAGTCTCCTGTCAACCTTTATGTTGAATATAGGCAAAAAGGATGATTAAGGCTGAAAAATTGAGTTACCTTGTATGCTTGGTCAACTTGCATGCCAGGACATACATAACCTACAAATTTCTCGTATAGTCCTTGTACACAGTTGCTTAATCCATCGCAGCACCTCTGTCCTCCTTTGTAGCTTGCATTCCCACTGTGATGGACCATATTCCTTTTGGGGGAGAAACCTGTGTTCAGGTGATAATCCCTTGAACTTGATTTCTCAAAGAATTGTTGTAAAAAGTGCTTCCTTCCAGTAATTGACCATGTGCCCAAGCTGAGAGAAATGATGTTTTTTAAAAAAAAAGTCATTTAAAAGGTTGAGCAGTATTCTGGGTATGACCCTAAATTCAAGCAACTTTTGGTTTAGAACAGGCTGGCAATGGAGAACATCCCTTTTTAAGCCAGGTTGGGTTGAAATTTTCAGTGCTACTTAGGAGGGCTTTAAGAACCTAGATAAATGAAGTACTCTCCAGCAATTTGGACTTGTGGGATAGCCAAGCTGAAAGAGAGCTAAAGAATGTTAGAACCAGGAAAATTTCAATATCCTATGCTACGCTTAAGACACTTTCAGTACTAGTGTTGAACTGGTAGTTGAAAGCCATGAGACTGTTAGAGGAGATGTGAAAGGATTTGCTGGAAGTAAGAGAAAGCCCAATAAATTTCAATCGCTGTAGGAATATTTGTAGTACTCCACTCAAGTGGTTAATCTAACTTTTTATATTGACAGCTGCTTTTGAGGTTTTTGTGATGCAGGTCAAATGAGTTTTTTGAAAGAAATTGGAGTTAAGTTTGCTTGAGTCTAAATGACACTTCTTAATACAGCATTATCTTTTCTGACTGTTTCTAATGTAGTTACCAATATTCAGATTTTTGATTTTGTTTTCAACTGTGAACCTTGTGGATTCATTCTTTCTGTAAATACCATATTCTTAAAAAAAAAAAATCAATAATTGGCCACAATCAAGATCATAACCTCACCTAGCTTTGCATCATCAGCAAATTTAGATGCACTACTGTCTCTCTGCCTGTCGTTAATATAGTATAGGTTAGAAACAGCTGAGGTCTCAGCACTATTCTTGTGGCACTCTACTAGTGATGACCTGCCGAGTTGATAATGCCCCTTTTTTAAGACGTTCCTGTCCATAAACCGATTCTGTATCCTTGCTAATAAGTATTCCCATGAGCTCTTATCTTGCCTATTAACTTTTTCCTGTGATATCTTTTTAAATGCATTTTGGAAATCTAGGTGTACTACATCTTACTGGTTCCCTATTATCTACACTGAGTTGGTAAGATTTTCTAAATGCAACGCTAAGACACATGCTTGAAAAGGGCAGTTTGTTGATAGTACAATTGGAAGACTGGAACTTGAGTAACATTTACTGGAGCATTGGAGTGCCCCTGAAATTCAACTATCCTAGGTTGCAGTTTAAACAACTTGCTCCTTCACACATGACCTAATTTCTAACATGGATAGCGTAAACTGCTGGGGCAGGCTAGTTGGTGGAAACCTTGTTACATCAGACTTTGTGGTGCAGTGACTAAAGGGAAAGTTTCGGACGCAGTTATTTCTGTTTGAGTATTTTCTCATCTGAGACTGACGGGAGACTCCGTAAATCAGCTAATTGTATTGACTCTTACAAAAAGAATCCAATGTGTCCAGTGAGCCAAAATAATATACTGGCTGAATAGTAAGAGAATGTACAATTTGCTGAAGTTCATAGCTTGCATCAACTTTCCTTGAAATGAAGTTTTGAATCCAATCGTTCAAGTTCAACGGAAAGTTAATGCAATGCCATAAACTTCATATAAACTTTAAACTGTTTAATTTAACCTTGCCTTCAATTTTTGAATTGTGAAATTTGGAGAGGAAATTATACTTTGCATCTGTAGTGATCTATTCAGGATATCCTGTGACTGAAGGTTTACCTGTCTTGTCTCCGCTGTATGATCCATCCATTTCTCATAATCACTTAAGTGTGAATATCAATATCTTTCTGAGTAGGGTTTACCCTTGTGATTTGAGTTCAATGAAACTGTTCTGTTGTATTTTAGAGATTTTTGTTTTGCTGCTGCATTTGGAGCCTTGCAGTTTGTGGATATATTGGAGAGTTTTGGGCATAAACTCCATGAAAATATTAACAAATCATAATTTCTCAATCTGCACGCAAGGAGAAACTTTACATCTGTGAAAAATGAAGTCTTGTTTCATTTCAGTGGCATGAGTTTTCATTCTGGTAAACATACGTTGATATCCTCAAACTTAAATTAATTTGAACTAATGGGATTATGGGAGTTGCTTAGAGTTGCAGTTAAACCTAAAACATTGGTTTATCCGCACAAGTTCAGCCTGTCCAGGTAGTGCCCCATCAATCTACTCTTGATCATCAGCATGATGGAAGGGGTCATCAACAGCATAATTAAGGGGCATCATCCAATGCCTTTCATTGGATCCTCTGGGCCATGGACCAATTATGAACAAAACAGTTGAATACCAGAGGTGAGAGTGCATGCTCATGACATCAAGGCAGCATTTTTTTGGGTACGGCATTAAGAAACCTGAGGAAAACCCTGGAGGTGATGATGATCTAGGGAAAGAGTCTTCCACTGATGGGATTCATCTGGTATGAAGGGAGATGAACGTAATTGCTGGATATCATCTGCAGTATTTTGCTCTGGCTAGTGTGCTATTCCCAACTATCTTTCCGTTGCTTTGATAACCTTCTGTTGTAATGTGAAAAATTAGAGATGTTTGCTGATGATTGCATGATGTTATCAGCCTTTGTGTTGACTGTTACTTCAGGCTTAAAATAAAGTAACATTTGTGCCAAATGTGCCAGACAAAGACAGTCTCTAACAAAAGAATCTAAACCTCTCCCCTTGATGATCAATGACATTACATTCACTGAATTACTCCTACTCTGAACACCATGAGGATTACCAGAAACTGAACTGGATGTGGCTACAGCAGTAAATCAGACCAGGAATTCTGCAGTGTGTAGCTTTCTTCCTAACGTTCCCAAAGCCTGTCTATCATGTACAAGGCATAAATCAGAAATGTGGTGTAATGCTTTCTGCTTGCTGGGATGAGTGTTGCTCTAGCAACACTTGGAGAGATTAAATGCTACCCATGACAAAGCAGTCTTCTTGATTGGCACCCTGTTCATCTGCTTCAACATTCATTCATTCCTTCCTTGATGCACAATGGCAGTAGTGTGTGCCATCTACGAGGTGCGCTGACTAGAGTGACAAACCAAGGCTCCTTCAACAGTACCTTCTACACCTATGCCCCCTTGAACAAGTCTGGAATGCCACTCTACTTCAAATTTCCCTTCAAGCTGCAAGCTGTTCGGATCTGGAACTTTTGTACCATTCCTTTCTTGTCAGCCCTGCTGGTCCATCTGTCATCAATGGACTACGGAGTTCAAAAATGTTGCTCACCACCAGCTTCTCAAGGACAAATGGGAATGAGCAATGAATATTTGTCAAACCAGTGACGCCTATATCTTATGAACAAGCGGGAAAAAAAAGGGCTGAGTGTACACATAAGACCATTACAATGGAAATGGTGATTAAATGAAAATGTTCATATTTGTTATGTACTGCAAATAGTGACTAAAGGAAAGTTACTGTAACTTTATTTAAGCTAATATTAAATGGCTAATAATGGAGGCCTTGTGGCAAAGTGGATAGTATTCCTACCTCTGAGTTTAAAAATTCCGGTTTTGTCCTACCTGAGGACTTGGTGCCAAAGAAGGTGCATTTAATAATGCACACAGTGAGTTGATTTTCATAGTGAATTTCCTTCCAGTCCCTGTCAAGATGGTAAGAGTGGGAGAGATTCGTCGTCACCCACATGATTGAATGAAAGTTGGAGCCTCTGTCATCACTGTATAACTCAAACACAATGTGCAATGTGAAAGTAGATGTTACTACAGCAACCTAGGGGCCTCGTAAACTGTAACACACCAACACCAGCAGATAGTTTATTTTAATCAATCTAATGGAATGATAACTTGGAACATCATTGTTTCAATTAAAATAAACCAAAGGATGCAAGTTTTCTCCTTTTTTTTTATATAAATGAGACAAGCCAAAGGTTGAACTTTTCCTTGCTTTGTAGCTGAAGCTTGGAACCACAGCACAAAACTGACTATTTCAGTAGTTTTATTTTTGGTCATACAGCTAAAGTAGAATGTTAAGTGAATTCAACAATACATCTTCTGAGAACAGGATTGTAATACAAATGATGGGCATTTTTGTGTTACATATGACCATGATATTACTTGTATTTCCCCTGAGGCAGCATCTAACTTCATTAATTTTCTAGCATTGATATATCCCGTATTGTGACGATGCTGTGGCTTTAAGAGGTATATTTTGTCCTGGTGTTTCTTTTTGAGAGGTTGAGACAGAGGAGACAAATGGTCTGTTGCCATCTAATAAAGTAAACAGCTTGTGAGGCCTTGGGTTTGTGTTTTAAAAAGGTGGAACAATAAGAGCAGCATGAAGGGCTGGGTCAAGCTCTCACAGCTAGGATTTTGGTTTAGCTTTTCAATAGCTGCTGGTATTTTGAACCTGTCAACTGTTATTCCTCTCACTACTACAGCTAAAAGCTTGGGTTCTCTTCTTGCTACTAGAATTGCATATTAGACAATCTGTTTTACTGAATTTGCCTTTGCCAAAAGGGGTGTTTATGGGATGTTACTATATTGGAACAGTTGCTGTTTAGAAGTTAAATAATGTGTTATTCTGTTAAGTTTTCCAATAGTTATTTCATATCTTCTTTCTTTTGTTTTATATTTTAACTATGTAGTTTCTGAAAGAAATGTGTTTTGCTTCAAACCTCGTGGTTTGACCATTCGAATTGCCTCTGGAACTCAGTGCCTTAAACTTGCCTTTTTAAAAGTAAAAAGTTAGATCTAGGCTATCTTCTTGATATATTTTTAAGGGGGTCGGTCTGGTCCAGTCCATAACTATTGATATGCATGAAATAGCTTTACTGCAGCCATCCTAATTGGTTAGATTTGTTCTGTTCATTCTATACTGTTTACTTGCTTTCGGGTGCATGGCATTATCTGACATTTAACTTGAACATATAGAAAGAACCACCTTGTAGAAACTGTGGTCTGATTGAATTAGGAATTGTATTCTTGCAATACATATTCCACAAATTAAGTGTTAGGTAAAGATGGTTTCCTGTATCAAACTTCACCAACTGACTTTCAAGAATAGGAATGGAGAATGTTAAACAGCCAACATTAGTACATTACTAGCTATGTAGGGATAGTTACAGGCAAATGAAGTTAAATGTGGAAGATGACTACATCTCATGTTTTCTTGCTTCTTTTACAGAACATGTGCAAAATGAAGAGAACTATGCACAAGCACTAGATAAATTTGGTAGTAATTTTTTAAGTCGTGATAATCCTGATCTTGGCACAGCTTTTGTTAAATTTTCCACACTCACAAAGGAGCTTTCAACATTGCTGAAAAACTTGGTAAGAGTTTAGGGTCTTGTATTTTTTTTTTTTTTGCTAACATCACTGATCCACTATGACTGAGTACTTTATTTAAGTTAATCCTATAGAAAGAATTGTGACAATAGTTGGATATATTAATTTTAAATAATTATATTGATATTTTAGTATTATCAGTACACTTGTTTAATGGTATTGTTTATTATTCCAAGAAGTAAGTTTTGGATTTTCACAGAACATGAGTCCATCTTAAATTTGGAAGTATATCTGCACACCTGCTTCACAGCCTTTATATTTTTTCTGATTAATAACAGATTAAAAAATGATACTGACTGTGTCACATGCTCTAACCCTGTGTATCAGCTTTAATGTAAGCACCAATAATGTAATCTTTTGTGCTGAAGTAGTAAGATTGATACTAGAAAGTCCAGAGCAAAGAAGGTAGTCCTATTGAATCTTGGAGATGATGCATAATTATTCTGGTGTAGACGTCTTTGTGACTGGCACCTGTGCATCTTGTGTTTTAAGAAACATTGCACCTGAGAGAAATCTTTTTTTATTTCTTATGGTATATTGTCATCACTGGCTAACTCAGAATTTATTGGTAATCCCTAATTTCCTTGGAGAAGATCTCGAGTTAGCTTTTTGAACTGCTGCAGTGCTTGGGCTTTGGGCTTTAGGCCTTAGGGCTGGGATTTTGAGCCAGCAACATTTGAAGGAATAGCAGAAGAGCTTCATAGGAAGAGCTGTGGCGTTGGGTAGAACTTCCAGCTGATGATCCCATGCATCTGCTGCCCTAGTCCTTCTAGGTGGTAAAGGTTGTGTGTTTTTGAGATGCTGTTGCAAGAGCCTTGGTGGGTTTTTGCAATTTATTTTGGATGGTATACATTGCTGCTGTAGTGCAACTGTGGTGAAGGGAGTTAATGTTAAACATGATGGATGGGGTACCAATCAAATGGGATGCTTTGTCCTGAACTGTCGAGCTGCTTATGTTGTTGGAGCGGCACCTGTCCAGGCAAGTGTGGAGTACTCCATTACAGTACTGACGTGTAACATGTAGATGGAGGACGTGGACTGGGGAGACAAGAAAGTAGTTAATTGTAACAGAATTCCTACCCTCTGACCTGCTTTTGTAGCTACAGTATTTGTATCGGTGGCCCAGTTCAATTTCTAGTCTGTGGTAACCACTAGGATGTTGTTAGTTGGGAATTCAGCAGTGGTAATGGCTATGATTTAAGCAAATAATTGCTTCTTATGCTGCATGGCTTTGTGTTGTCACCTGTTTTCACCAAACAATAATCCATGTAAAATTAACAAGTTCTTCTTATTAAAATACTAGAAACTAAGCATATCTGCTCATACCATCAACTGTAATTTCTGCTAGGTTTAAGAGGAGATGATGTAGTGGTAATGTCACGAGACAAGAAGTTCAGAGGCCCAGGTTAATATTCTCGGGATATGAGTTCAAATCCTGTCATGGAAGCTGGTGGAATTTAAAATCAATGAGTTAAAAATTTTGAATACAAAGCTTAATATCTGTAATAATAACCTTTAAAGTACCATTGTTGTGAAAAATAGATCTGGTTCACTAATGTCTTTTTAGGAAAGGCAATCAGCCATTCTTAGCTGGTTGGCTGTTTTTGAATCCAAATGTAATGATTTGGTTGACTCCTAATTTCCCTTTTGAAATAGCTAAGTAAAGGTATTTGGAATGGCAACAAATGCTGGAGCGATCTCCACATCAAAGAATAAATTAAGTTCCTTCAGTTCCCCTTCCCTATAGATATCAGTGCAGCTTTGTACGACACTGTAATTCACTCCAAATCAACTCCTTTCCTTGGCTTCTGTGTCTCCATTTTGGGCAATAAACTGTTCACTGCCATTCCCTACAAAGCAACTAACTCCCATCACTACCTGCACTACACCTTGTCACACCCTATGCCCTGCAAGGACTCCAACCCATTCTCTCAGTTCCTTCACCTATGTCGCATCTGTTTGGATGATGCCACCTTCCAAAACAACACTGCTGATGTGGCTTGCTTCTTCCATAATCATGGTTTTCCACACTCTGTGGTTGACAGGACCCTCAACCGTATCCAACGTATCACCCCTGCTTGCGATTTTCCATCACTCAACAGTGAAATCAGGTCACCCTTGTCCTCACTTTTCATTCCATCAGCCTCCACATTCAAAGGATCATTCTCTGCCATTTCAAATGACTTCGGAGTGCCACCAACACAAACACCTGCCCCTCACTCCCCTTGCCTGCATTTCGCAGAGATCATTCCTGCCTGGACACCCTCGCCCATTCCAGGACCACTAACACCATGCACCCCCAGCACTTCCCATGTAACCGCAGAAGGTGCAACACCTCCCTGCTTGCCACCCAAGGGCCTAAACAGTCTTTCCAGGTGAAGCAGCATGTCCCCTATACCACCACTAATCTTGTGTATTGTATTCGCTGATCCTGATGTGGCCCACTCTACTTTGGAGAAATCAAACACAGACTAGATGACCACTTTGCAGAACACCTTTTTGGTCCTTGCGCAAGCATGACCCTGACCTTCCTATAGCTGGTCATTTTAACATAGCATCTTGCTTGCATGCCCACTTGTATGTGCTTGTCACGCTGCAGTGCTCCAATGAAACACAGCAAATTGGAGGCACAACATCTCATCTTCAGACTAGGCGCTTTACAGCCTTCTGGACTTAAATATTGAGTTGAGTTCAACAAGTTCAAATTGTGAACCAACTCCCATTTCTTCCTTTTTTTTCTTTTAGCTTGTTATATTCTCTCACCTTGTGCCTGTCTTTTTTTCTTTTTTTTTTTTTTTTTTTCCCCCCACCTCCCCACCCAAAACAGTGGGATCAACATCATCTTTTTTATTCACTCGCAATCTAGGCCCCACTGGCCCCGCACCTCCCCCCACCCCTTCCCCAAATGATAGCATAAATGCTGCCCCCTCCACGCTTCACTTCAGCTCTGATGAAGTCATCTAGACTCAAAATGTTAACTTGTTCTCTCGCCATGGATGCTATCTGACCCGCTGTGATCTCTAGCACTTGTTTCCAGTAGAGATTCCAGAATCTGCAGTAATATGCCCTTCCTCGTCTGAGTGCTGTCTTACACATATTCCCTTTAATTATTTTAAAGGTTTGTACCACATCTGCACTTGTGCACCTTTTCTGTTGTCCTGCAAGGTTTAGATGCTTGGCCTTTCTCCATAATTGAACCCCAGAGCATTTAATATTGAACTGTTGTTCTCCGAAACCTTCCTAATAAACCCACTTGAAGGACTTTAGAACAGGAGGTCATTTGGCCAGTTGTGCAATTTGCAATCTCTTGTAAATATTCAATTTAGCTCTACCCCTGTTCCCCATAACCCAACAAATTATTATTCAATGTTCGTCAAGTTTTTGAAAATAGCTTGTTTCCATCATCCGTTTATGAAGCGCACTCTGGAAACTGAGCAGTCTGAAAAACCATTCCTTTGGCAGCGCGTTCAAGATACATGGGTTTTACTGCCATGAAGGATGAAAACATCGCAGATGCATTGGAGGACCACCTGCAAGTTTTTTTTTTTTTTTCTCTAACCCACACTTTGCCCTGACTTGGAGCCATATCACTGTTCCTTCAGTGTTGCTAGGTCAAAATCATGAAATTCTCTTCCTAACAGTAACCCAAGAACTGCAGCAGCTCAAATTGACAGCTCACTACCATTTGTTGAGGGCAATTAGGGATGGGCTACAATTGTTGGCTTTAACCAGCAATACTCATACATCACGAATGAATAAAATATATTGTTTACCAGTACTTGTCACCTGTATTACAAGGACAAGGTTATCATAGTAGAGAAGGTGAATAGGAGATTTACATCTGTTCCCAGGAATGAAGAATTTTAGCTTTTGAGGAAAGATTAGACAGGTGGGGTTGTTTTCTTGGAACAGAGAAGGTGAAGTAAGATTGAATTAGTGATGTAGATAATTGATCCAGATGGAGTGCATAGGAAGGACATATTTCCTTCAGTGAGGTAAATAACTAGCAAGTATCAAATTAAAGTAATTGGTGAGAAGCTTGGAGAAGGAGAGTTTCTGCCACCCAAGCGGTAGTGAGCTCTGGAACTTGCCATTTGAATGGATGACACAGCACAGCTTAAAAACCCCTCATCGTGTTTTTTTAAAAGAAAATCTTGAACAAGGAGATGCAGAGCTCCAGACCAATATGTGGATGGTGTAATTGAGCTGGTGAGTTCTTGGTTGGCTGCACATTCTTTCTTGGGATGTGTGGCCTCCTGTGTCACATGAATATACTGTCTTCAAAACAATTGGCTTGACCAATCTGTAGATCTTCTGCCTTAATTTCATTTTGTGGCTTTGGGGTTTGGTTTAACAATGAGCTATCTCTAGAGCCTTTACTATGTTAAAGGTGCTGTGCTGATGCAAGTTGTCTTGAAAGTTGGAGAATTCAAGTAAAGGATATTTATTGTATCATCTATAAAAGTTTATTTCGTTGATGATGAAATAATAGTCTTACAGTTAAGTATGTCTTGTTTAGCCACAGCCCTTTAAATATTGGTTTTAGTGACCTGTTTAAAAAGGTACCTTCTTTGAATGTTAAACTAATTAATGGGCTGGGGTAGATATCCTCCTTTTAATATGGAACCTGGATTATGAATTTTTTGAGCCTCAAAAATTAGTTATGGACCTCTTGGGTGGGGAGAGGGGCAAGAATCAAACTATCAATTTCTCCTTAAATTAGAATAAAAGCCCATTTGAATTAGAAACTACTTGAATATTTACTTCTGTTTCTTCAATACATATTCTTTAATGACTTCAATTTGTTATTGTGATAAATGTTTGTTTATACAATAGTATTTGGGAACTTCAGTTATAAAGTAGAGGTTATTAGATTTTGAGTTTTCAGTCCTGTGAAGGTGACTTCCAGGTTCAGAAGCTCTTGTTTAAAGCATTGGGTACAAATAGTGTTACCAATAAATCATGTGATATGAGCTAAGTGACTA